TAGATGCCAGAAGAGACTCTGAAACTTGATGTTGCAGGAAGAGTAGCTAAAGCAAATGGGAAAAAAAGAAAAACGATGAAATAAAAAAGCTGAACAGATTTTTAAGGGCACCTTGAGAAGACAAAGTAAAATATTGTAATGAAATGTGCAAAGACCTGGAATTAGAAAGTCGAAAAGGGAGAACATGCTTGTCATATCCCAAGCTGAAAGAACCAAAGAAAAAATTGAAGCCTTGAGTTGCAATATTGAAGGATTCTGTGGACAAAATATTGAACGATGCAGGAAGCATGAAAAGAAGATGGAAGGGATATACAGAGTCATTTTACCCCCAAAAAATTGGTAGACATTCAACTATTTCAGGAGGGAGAATATGATCAAGAACTAATGGTACTGAAGGAAGAAGTCCAAACTGCACTGAAAGAATTATTGAAGAACAAGGCTCCAAGAATTGAAGGAACACTCATTGAGATCTTTCAACAAATGGATGCAGCACATAATCACTCATTTATGCCAAGAAATTTGGAAGACAGTCCCCTGCTAAACCAACTGGAAGAGATCCATATGTGTATCCATTCCAAAGACAGGTGATTCAACAGAACACAGAAAATATCAAACAAAATCATTAACATCACATGCAAGTAAAGTTTTATTAAAGATCATTCAAAAACAGTTGCAGCAGTATATTGACAGGGAAGTATTAGAAATTCAAGCTAGATTCAGAAGAGAGTGTGGAACAAGAGCTATTATTACTGATGTCAGGTGAATTTTGGCTGAAAGCATAAAATAACAGAAAGATGTTAGCTTGTGTTTTATTGACTATGCAAAGGCATTCAACTGTGAGTATTGTACAAATTTTGGATAACATTGCGAAGAATGGGAACTCCAGAGCACTTAATTATGCCCATGAGGAACCTATACATAGACCAAGAGGCATTCATTCAAACAGAACAAGGGGATATGGTATGATTTAAAATCAGTAAAGGTGTGTGTCATGGTTGTATCCTTTCACCATACTTATTCAGTCTGTATGCTGAGCAAATAATCTGAGAAGGTGGACTATGTGAAGAAGAACGCAGCATCAGGATTGGAGAAAGAATCATTAACAACCTTTGATAGGCAGATGACACAATTTTGCTTGCATGACTTCACACACTTACTGATGAAGATCAAATGCTACAGCCTTCACTATGGATTACATCTCAACAAAAAGATACAAAAAGCCTCACAACAGGACCAATAAGCAACATCACAATAAATGGAGAAAAGATTGAAGTTGTCAGGGATTTCATTTTACTTGGATCCATAATTCACATGCACAGAAGCAGCAGCCAGGAAATCAGACAACATATTGCACTTAGCAAAGCTGTTACAAAAGACTTCTTTAAAGCGTTAAAGAGGAAAGATGTCCCTCTGGGTACATCTGACCCAAGCCTATGGTATTTTCAATTGCCTCATATGCATGTGAAAGCTGGACCATGAATAAGGAAGACCAAGGGAGAATGGATGCATTCGAATTGTGATGTTGGCAAAGAACTCGGAAAATACCGTGGACTGCAAGAAGAATAAGCAAATCTGTCTGGAAAGAAGTACAGCCAGAATGCTTCTTAGAAGTGAGAATGACCAGGCTTCATCTCACGTACTTTGGTCCTTTTGTCAGGAGAGACTAGTCCCTGGAGAAGGATATATCATGCTTGTGAAGTAGACGGTCAATGAAAAAAGGGAAGACCTTCAACTAGATGGATTGACACAGTGGTTGCAGTGATGGGCTGAAGCATAGCAAGGACTGTGACTGGGAAGTGTTTTCTTCTCTCGTACATAGTGTCACTGTGACTTGGAGCTGATTGGACAGCACCTAACAACAACATGGGGTAGAGATAAGTATATGTGTTCTGATAGACAGCTCTTTTCCTTTTTAGGTAATTTA